AGGGGCCCAAGACGAGGGCGGGGCTCTGGATGAAGGAGGGGCCCAAGACGAGGGCAGGGCCCTGAATGAAGCAAGGGCCCAAGACGAGGGCGGGGCTCTGGATGAAGGAGGGGCCCAAGATGAGGGTGGGGCTTTGGGTGGGGCGGGGCTCTGGATGGGGGTGGGGCCCTGGACAGGGGAGGGGCTCTGGATGAAGGAGGGGCTCTGGATGGGGGAGGGGCCCCAGACGAGGGAGGGGCTCTGGACCACGGAGGATCTCTAGACGAGGGAGGGGCTCTGGACAAAGGAGGGGCCCAAGACGAGGGCGGGGCTGTGGATGAAGGAGGGGCCCAAGACGAGGGAGGGGCTCTGGGTGGGGTGGGGCCCTGGACGGGGGAGGGGCCCTGGACAGGGGTGGGGCTCTGGATGAGGGAGGGGCCCCAGACGAGGGAGGGGCTCTGGATGAAGGAGGGGTCGTGGATGAGGGAGGGGCTCTGGACCACGGAGGCTCTCTGGACGAGGGAGGGGCTCTGGACGAGGGAGGAGCCCTGGACGGGGGAGGGGCCCTGGACGAGGGAGGAGTCCTGGATGAGGGAGAGGCTGCGGACTAGGGAGGGGCTCTGGATGAGGGAGGGGCCCAGGGAGCTGCGAGCTCGGCTCCCAGCTGACTCCTAGCGCCCACTAGGCACGGTGTGCTTTGCCCAGGGCGCGGGGCCAACGCCCCACCTGTCTGATGCAGGGTTTCCTCCTCATAGAACACAGGCCTAGCACCTGCCCTCCACCCCGGTCCCAGGGGAGAGGGGAGCCTGACCTCAAAGAGGGCCTCTTTCAGAGTCGAGTAAGCCTTGTCCAGGTTCTCATTGACGATGACCAGGTCAAACAGGCCCGGCTCCTTGCCTGAAAATGGGCAGGGGGCGGGGAGTGCCTTCAGAGACATGGCGCTGCCCGGCCGTCCACTTCGTCGTCCCTTTACCGCCCAAGGACCACCTGCCCACGCTGCCGCAGACAGAACCGCGCTGCCGCAGGCAGAACCGCGCTGCCGCAGGCAGAACCACGCTACCGCAGGCACAGCCACGCTGCCGCAGACACAACCATGAGCACTTTCTAGGGACCCTTACTCCGGCTGACTGCTGACTGTAAAACAGGTGTGTTGTTGCCCAGCGCAGCAGGAAGCTCCTGACCAAGGACTGCCCTGTCCACATCCCACACTGTCCTCATCTCCACAATGGAGTCACGAACAGCCCTGACGGGGTCACACTGCTCCCTATCTCCACGTTACACGCAGCCACATGGCGGGGAGGTGCCGCCCACTGCTAGGACGTCCCTCTCCTACTCACAGCCAAGAGCGGAGTCTGCCCAGAGCCCAGGGAGGGCCGGCTTCACGGAGAAACCCCCAAGGGGCCCCTCCCCGCCTCCTCTCCACCGGACCCCAGAGGCCTTGGCATGCACGTCTGTGTCAGAGCGCTCCCTTACTCTCTGTTTTCTGAGTGATGACCTTCCCTCCCCAGTCCCGTTTTGGTTGTTACTTATGCCTTGTGGTGGGAATCTCCTGCTAGTTTTGATTTTCCTGTAAATGCTGCCTCGTGGTTTCTTAAGAAGCAGGCAGGATGTTGACATAAACCTCCCTCTCTCATTGGCCTCAATCAGACCACAGTGGGTAGACAAGGCCGTGAGAGGACTCCCATCACACTCCGCCAGTGGGTACCGTTGTTTGGTGACAGACTCCAGTGCGCTCTGAAGGAGCATGTCTGGGGACTGACTGTGGGGACTCTGGGGCCATGGGAGATGAGGAGAGTGTCTGGGGACTGACTGTGGGGACTCCTGTGCTGCCGTGGGAGACGGGGGGAGTGTCTGGGGACTGCCTCTGGGGACTCTGGTGCTGTGGGAAGGAGTGCTCTGCACCCCTCTCCTTTCCGAACTGCCCCCACTCCGTGAGCCCAGCCCTGCCCTACTCCTCAGGGCTCTTCCCTCGGTGCTGACCCAGCCCTGCTCACAGCGGGTGTGGACAGTGGGGAGCAGGGCTGCTGCGAGGGAGCAGCCTGGAGCCTGTACTCACTGCTCTCCATGTCGGCCTTGGCGGCGGCGAGCCGCTTAGCAAGGCTCTCCTCTGTCTCTGTGTTCCGGGCTCGCAGCCGCTGCTCCTGAAACACACCCGTGGGGTTGGGGCGCCTCCCAGCTGGCTGCCGCTGCATGCGGCCGCCTGCAGGCCTGCTCCCCCGCTCCACCTACCCGCCCGCCCGCCTGCCCCTTCCGCCAGGCCTGCCTGCCTGCTCCACCTGCCCGCCCTTCCCGCACGCACCAGGACCTCCAGGGAGGGCGCCTGCACGCAGATGTAGAGGGGCCGCAGGTCCGTCTTCTTGATGTTGCGCACGCCCTGCAGGTCCACGTCCAGCACGCAGATGCGGTTCATGGCCTGCACAGCCCGAACGGCCGCTTTGCTGCGGGGCGGGAGCTGCTTAGCCCTCGGGGGCCTGTTCCTCAGGGTAATTACCTGCCGCCACCCTCCCTGAGGCCGTGAGGAGCCCCATGTGGAATCCTGGACCCCCACGCTGACGGCACGGGGAGCAACACTGGTCCCGGTCACACACCTCTCTGTGGGTCTGCCCCCGGCTGCCTCTGGGGCTCACTTGAACCCGCACTTTCCCTGAGCACACACTTCTGAGAGGTGGTGGCGGGGGGAGTTCCCTGAGGGCCAGCATCCCCTGCAGCCCCAGGCCCCAGGCCCCTCACAGATCTTCTCCCCGCGCCACCTGAGTCAGGCAGCAGCCGGCCGGCCTGCGCGGTGGCCCCCAGCCAGCGTGAGCCCACAGAGTAGCTTCCTGCAAGGCTGCGGTGAGCATGCCTGCCGGCGCTGACGGCTGCCTTGGCCCCGTGCCCTGCCTCAGGTGGCCCTCCCTCTCAGTCAGTGCCGCCTGGGAGCTTGCTGCGTCTCTGCCCCTGCTTGTGCTGGCCCTGTCACATGCCTGAAGCTGGCCTGGCTGTGGGGCCTGAAGCCTGGCGCCCTCTCCAAGCCCCTGGGACACTCGGCCGCAGTGCTGCTGCACCCTCCCCCGCCACGAACCACAGGCCTGCTGAGGATGCGCCACGCCTCGACCCCGCGGCTTGCAAGCTGCACCATGGAGCCGGGCGGTCCAGGGCACCCAGGAGGGCTGCAGTCTGAGAAGGGGCTTGCCGCCTGCCCCTGTCAGGTTGTCCCCAGTGGTCCTGCAGCTACAGTGGAACATGAAGTGTCACTTGCAGTCCCCGATGTCCACAGGGATGGCTGAGAGATGGTGCAGGATGGGTGTGACAGGGCCAGGCCCCCTGGCCTACACAGGCTCTGCTCTTGGGGCTTCATTAGCTGGTCCCCGGCAGGCTCTGGTGGGAGGAACAGTGGAGACCCTACTCTCTGGGGATCACCTTGGGCCCAGTGCACAGGCACAGTGGGGAGGGAGGTGCAGGGTGGCCTGTGATGTCAAGGACACGGTGAGCGTAGCCACCACCCAGGCCACTGTGGGCTGAGGCTGGGCCACATGGAGAACCAGGACACTACCCACTGACCTGGTTCCTGCAGCGGCTGGACATGGGCAGATGGGCCGGCGGGGGCCACACAGAGCACCCTTGGGTGGGGGGCCTGGGACCTGTCCAGGAAGTGCCCCTGGCGTCACCCACAGCCCACAGAGAAGCCAGCCCACCCTATAAGCCAGCGGAAGCTGGACTCACCTTGTCCCATACAGGTTGCCTGAGAACTCGGCATGCTCAATGAAGTCGCCTGCGGCAATGTCTCTCTGCATGGCCTCCCTGGTGACGAAGTGGTAATCTGGACAGGACGCGGGAAAGAAAGGGTGCTTTCCAAAGGCTCCATGGCCAGGTGACAGCACAGGAGGAGGGCAGGGCTGACGGCCAAGGCCACGAAGGCTGTGCTCACCTCTGCCGTTCTCCTCTCCTGGCCGCGGGTCCCTTGTGGTATCTGCAATAAGCACCCGACGACCATGCTGGCTCCCAGGGTCTCCCTGGGTGGGGTGGCACCAGGCAGCCACACAGGCTGTGGGCTCCCCAGCAGCAGGGCCTGAGCTGTCGAGCAGAGCCGCCTGCTCAGGCCCACGCCCAGCCCTCACATCCGACACTTATGGGCCAGGCCGTCTCCACAGGCCCATGAAGGCAGGTGGGAGCTCCCTATGGACCAGGAGGGCTGGGGCGCTGGGGATGCCCCCGGGTGCGAGGGCTGCCCTCCCTCCCTGGCCCTCCTCCACATGGGGGCTGCCCTCCTTCCCTGGCCCTCCTCCACGTGGGGGCTGCCCTCCCTCTCTGGCCCTCCTCCACATGGGGGCCGCCCTCCCCAGTCCCTCACGCCAGCAGGCAGCTGCCAGGACTCACGGGACACGCTGAAGCCGAAGACACTGCCGTACTCTTGCAGGAGCTTCTTTAGCAGGGTGCTTTTCCCAGCCCCTGATGGGCCGCTCAACACAACAGGTCTTGGTCCTGACATCCCTAGGGGAACACGAACATCAGGGGGACAGGCAGGTCTGGGGGCCTGCACCCAGAGTCATGCCAACCCTGGCTGAACTTCCACACCCCGGGCTGCTGTGTTTACTCGGCAAACTCAGCCTGGGCTGGTTACACTGTAACACATACACACTGGTCTTCAACAGGAGACTTCGGACAAAGAAAGCAAAAGGAAAGTAAGGGTGACTGGGTTTGATTATACAGCTCTCCAGCCGGGAACCGCCCTGACCCGCCCGCCTGCACAGCCTCCAGAATCAGCCCACGCCCGCCCTGCTCTCACCCTGGTCTGACCACAAGTCCTCCCCCAGCACACCACGGGCCGCACAGGCTGCTTCTCAGGCTGTCTGTCCACCGCCAGCCCCTCCGCCTCAGCCCCCGGCCGGCAGGCGGCCTGAGCCTGGATGTGCGCCCCACACGTGGCTCTGCCCAGGAGCTGCTGAGATAGATGTGGCCCTTCCCCCTCTATGCGCCTCCTGGCACCGGGCCCTGCTGGGGTGGCCCTGTTCTGGGAGCCTCCAACCAAGGGGGCATGGCCACAGGCTAGTGAGGCGGGGGCTGACCCCCTGAGGGCCAAGTGCTTTATGAGCCTTGCATCGGACGCTCCCAATCCCAATACGGAAAGGATGATGGGGACTTGAATGTTGGCCACAGCCCCCTCCCCCTGGACGGAGCCCCAGACAGGGAAGACCTGCAGACCTTGGAGATCAGACTCCAGCCGCAGAGCCGGGCACGTGGGGGAGCGAGGGGAAAGCCCAGTGGGAAACCAGGACACCCTCAGCAGCACCAACGCCCCAATCTGGGATTGGCGGTCTGCCCAGATGGCATCTGCCCTTCACCTCTGCTCTGGGAACACCTTCCAGAAAGGCTGGCCTCCAGGGCTGGATGGACAGGCAGGTGGGTGGGCGTGCCGGCTCTCATCAACTGGAGCTATGGCTCTGTGCCCCCTGCATCCCACACTGCACCCAACCTGCACTCTTTACCCCACATTCACCCCTCACCTGTCCCCTGCCCTGCACCCCACACCTCACCCTGCGCCCTGCACTTCACCCTGCCCCATGCCTCACCCTGCACCCCGTGCCTCACCCTGCACTCCATGCCTCACCCTGTACCCCACACCTCACCCTGCACCCCACATCTCACCCTGCACTGCACCTCACCCTCCACCCCACATCTCACCCTGCCCCGCACCTCACCCTGCACCCCACACCTCACCCTGCCCTGCAGCTTGCCTTTCACCCGACATCCTGCCTCAGACCCCACAACCCTCCCAGGAGCGGGCCTGGTCCCCAGGGTCAGTCCTGCTGGGCGGCATGACCCACCTCCTCGAGGGACCTCTGCCATTGCCCGGGTGTCAGCACCAGTAAGGTGGCACACAAATGAGCAGCCCAGTGGGGAGTGGCTCTGAGATGGTGGGAAAAGCCAGCACTCCTAATCCCTGCCAGCCTGCCCTCTGCCGCCTGAGCACTAAGTCCTGAAGCGCAGCCTGATTGCGCTAAGGCTCCCCCCCAGCCCCCCGCCGCACTAAGTCCTGAAGCGGGGCCTGACTGCACTAAGGCCTCCCCCCGCAACAGTAAGTCCTCGTCCCCCAGAAATAAGTCCTGAAGTGCGCCCTGCCTGCACTAAGACCTCCCTCCCTCCCGCCCAGCACTAAGTCCTGAAGCGCAGCCTGACTGCACTAAGACCTCCCCCCCAGCACTAAGTCCTGAAGTGCGGCCTGCCTGCACTAAGACCTCCCCCCCAGCACTAAGTCCTGAAGCGCGGCCTGACTGCACTAAGACCTCCCCCTCCAGCACTAAGTCCTGAAGCGCGGCCTGACTTCACTAAGGCCTTCCCCCACCCAGCACTAAGTCCTGAAG